AGGAAGCCTTGGAGAGAGTTACTAGCCTGACAATCATTTCACTATTTTCATTTCTACCCCAAAGCCCAGATATGGTGCCGTTTTCTGATCCCTGATCCCAGGTCAAAATTTTGATTGATAGCTGGGATCAATCTGCAGACAATGCTCTCCAAACTCTTGAGCAAGTGCAATCAATCCTAGAGGAGAAGACCGCCTTGGGAAAAGCTTTTTCGATGCTGACTATTTGATGCTGCCGAAGGCTACTTCCCAAACGATGCTGTGAGTCTATTTCAAATCAACACAAGTTGTTGAGCTGAGCTGAGGTTCATGGATGATGTTGCAAAGAGGAGCTTGGATGTTGCAATGCGATTGGCAAAATGGAGCACTTTGCAACTCAGGGATGGAGAATTGGAGTAGCAGTCAAACGCATGAATGAAACTTGAATCATTTTCCAACCGCTCCTTGCTTTTTGTCAAAGCTTGGCCTCAGCCATTCTATAATTTGTTCTTGGCATTTAGTGTCATTCATGTCGACCTGCGGAGCAAGATCCAGATCACCTCGACAGTGCCTTCAGAGATGCTCCCTCAGCTCTGGATCCGAGAAGGAGGAAGAGGAATCTGGGGATGACAGCGGCTCAGACTCTGGGAGTGACAGCTCCAGCTCAGAAAGTGGATCAGGGGATAAGTTGGCTCAAGCAAGAAACGCATCGACGCTTGCCAAGTGGTGTTTTGAACTTGCACTGTGTTCTTTTTGATGTGAACGGATCAGATTGGCCATGTGCTCAGGAAGACCACGTTTCGTTCACCTACTGTGCAGCTATCTACTCTCCAGAAACGCCATCTTTCTGGATGGGGGCATTCAATGGTATCCCGGGGAGGACGGTTCAAGAACATAAGGTTTCAAGAATATAAACTTAGGTTTCCGTAGTTGCCTTGCAGGAGTGACAGATTTCCTGCGGAGATTGGCGATGCCGCTGGCATTGATGTGTGATTGCGCCAAAGCTGCAAGATGTGCTGCACATAGAACAAATTAAAGTCGCTGCTCTTCAAGGTTCTGGCATTGCTGGGTCGTGGTGGGCCTTGAAGGAGATCACCAATGATCGCTGCGATTTGCTATCACACACTGAACGAAAGGTCTCTGCTTTGAAGTTTCTTTTGGCCAACACGAAGCCACAGAGGAAACTAGGTTGGCACTTCTTGAACTCAGTCATGGGCCAGTCTTGGCCTCTTCCGACTCAGTCATTTGCTGTAAGGACTTTCTGCGATTTGATGGATCGGCCTGTGGGGTTGCTCCCACACGGGGTTGCTGTCTATACCAGTGGATTCCCCTGTCAGCCGTTCAGCCTATTGCACAATGGTACTGCCCTCATGGACGAACCGCAAGCAGAAGTGTTCAAAGAAGTGGTAAAGACTATGTACCGAGTCCGCCCACTGATCGCCATATTGGAAAATGTTATGGGGCTGAATCGTTGCTGGAGTATCGTTGAGCAGTTCCTTCAAAGATTACCCAATTATAGATTTTGCAAGTTGGTGATCGACCCGATTCACCTTGGCGATCCCGTCACACGGAGAAGGATCTACATCATTCTGATTCAGGGGACTCTTGACTCTTAGACCTTGGGTTTCTTTGACCATTGTTTTTTGTTTGGTTTGATGTTTTGTTAGCCAAGGAATGTTGCAAGGGATGACATCAAAAACAACCAGACTCTGGCGGAGGAGATGGCAAAGGTCTATAAGCGCCTCAAGGTTGACCACAGGCCAAATCCGATTCTTACCAGCACAAGGGGTTGAGAATTGCATGCCGTTTGACTCTTACCCCAGATTTTCAGATTGTCCTAGGACCACGATACTGTTTCCGAATGACCACCCCAGCGTTCTGGAAGAAGAGAAGCAAATGGCAAACCGCAACAAGAAGACCAGAGAACAGTTTGATCTACAGTGGACCAGTGCACCAAAGCAAAAGAATCCCAAATGGTTGAAACATCACTGGAACACGATGAAGAAGCTTGAGGCCTGGGTTGGGCACTTGGTGTTGGGTCGTTTGCTATCACGCGCTGTTCCTTACTCTCCACACTCCTTTTGACTGTAGGTTGATCCATGCAAGCTGACCTGCCTCAAAGAAGCGCGTCGGCATCATCCCAGCCAACGTGTGGAGCATGCGCTGGATATTTATCATACTACTCGCCAGTACCGCAACCATTACATCAACACATCGCAGCGTATTGACCGAATGGTTTCAGGGGGTGGTGGGAAAGTGCCTTGCGTCACACCAAATGGAGCTTTTTGGTCCATGCCCCTCAAAAGGTTCATCACAGGACAGCGCAGCGCCAGTTGGGTTTCCAAACGTTCAACTTCGAGACCCCTGTATCCACCGATTCTGATTTGCCCTCACCCTGCAGGAATGGAATGCCTGCTGTTGCAATCTTTTCCACTCGACCAGCTGGATCTCAGCAATCTTACCTGCAATGTGCCTTGGCCTGCATTCATCTTTCCACTTGGAAGTCTTCATCGTCCAGAAAATTGAACATTGTGTGACACTTTAAGGAACTCAGGGATCTAGCAGGAAATGTCTACAACTGCAAAGCTATTGGGGCTGCATATGTTTGTGCCTTTGCGGCATGTGACTTGGATAAATTCAATGATGCAGTGGAAAGGCTTCACAAGAGGCCATAGATTGCATTTTGCAAACTGGACATAGATGGAATCTCGGAAAACCTGCGCTCGGCTCTCCATTCATTCTGCAACACCACCGGGTTCATGTCAGGGTAGTAGGTCTGCAGAACCTTGGCTCATTTTCTGTGCCAGTGAGGAATACAATATACCTAAATAACACTCTAAATAACATCCTGCAACAAATTTCCTGGAACAAACAAGAGTGTATTCTCACAGCACGGTTTCAATCCACAATAGACTTCAAGGTTTTGTCTTTTGATTGACTTGCCATGCTGGTACCCTATCATGCTACATCTTCCTCGACCGACAATGCAAGCAGTGACTCGGAATCTGAATCAAAGAAGAGTGGCTCTTCAGCATCAAGCTCGACATCAATGACAAGCCTTGGTTCGACACAGCCACGTCCTGATGTGATCCGCAACCTGTGTTTGAATCAGCTGCACGCTTTGGAAGCTGATGATCATGCAAATGAAAGTTCAGATTTGGCAAGCCAAAATGGGAGAAGCAAAGAACGAACCTAAGCATGTGACAAGTAATCATTCACTGTTGCGCAGTTCAAAACACCCTTCATTCCTTTCCCAAACAATTATTATTTGCTGCAAACCATACTTCTGTCACTGAGGAATAGCTGATGCTCTTCAAAGACCATGTTGCAAGACACGCTGCAAAAGAAAACTGTCTGTCAAGCTGGTACTTGCTTGCTGCATAGCCTTTTGGTCATTAACCAAAAGTGGTCAAGACTGCCTGCTTCTAGTCAAAATAAGAAGTGAAACTCCTCTGTGCGGACAGGGCGCGAGGGCTCCTTTGAAGCTAAGGCTTTGGAGCTTGCAATCTTCCAGCACGTGGCAAGATGAATCTGAAGAAGATTCCGGCTCTTCCTCCAGCAGTGATGAGAGTGACAGTGATGGATCATCAGTTCACACTAAGCGAAGAAGAAAGTGGCACATTGAAGGACTGTTTTGCTGTTGTCAGCCTTTTCATGGCGGTCACGATCCATTGACATTGACAGGATATGAAGTCTGCAGGGCAGCCTTCTGTCAATTATTGGGAATTGGGCGGCAACGTCTAGCACGCTGCAAAAAAACATTTAGAGGGCAGGACTACAGAAAGTTTGGTTCCCTGCTCAAATTACATAATGGTCATCGATGTTCATCCATTCAGCACCACACATAGTCTCTCATGGGTCCCAACCCAGGTTCTGGCGCCCCACCAGGGAAGGTTGCTGCAAGTGTGAAGCAATTCCTAGCCAAGACCTATTGGTCTATTGCAGAGACCCTTCCGCACGAGCAACTTGGCAAGTGCAAGCTTCACAATAGTTTTCGTGTTGCCACATGGCAGCCAAACCAGGTTAGATATTGGAAAGGGGGACTTTGACACCGACACTGGAAGAGAACAACTTGTCAATGCTCTCCTGGAATCAGCTTCATGTTCTGCACCAGGTTTGATGCGTGACAAGCCAGACAAGTTACCCAAACGTCATCTACCTCCAGGGAAGTACTCTGATTTGTATCAACTCTATTGTGCATATTGCTACTCCTCGGGCACAGCTGTGGCTAGTGCGGCTACTTTTTACCGAGTTCTCAAGGAATCAGGATGGAAAAAAATTGATCCACCGTGGGAAGACAACACATACCAAGTGCACAACCTGCCACAAGCTGAAAACAGCAATTCGGAAAGCCACAACCTTGCAAGCACATGCAGAATATGCAGACCGTTACATGAGACATATCGCTGGTCAGTTCGCTGACCGCCGTGCGTATTGGGAGCTACGACACCGCGCCGCCACTGACAGAGACATCCTGCTGTGCATCCAAGATTCAATGGATCGATCAAAGTTCAAGCTCCCGAGGTTCTCAGATGGCATAGTGCCCAAGGCCTTGGATCAAAAGCCACGGCCAGAATGTGAAGTCACGGCGACCATTGCACACGGACGTGGTATCTTTGTATACATCACCGACCCTGAGCAGTCGTTTGGAACAAACTGGAACCTTGAACGCCTCAACCGTACATTGCAATGCTGCTACCAACGAGCACAAGAACAACAAGAACCGTGGCCACGAGTCAGCCGACTCTTTTCAGACAACACACCCAAAGCAACTTTCCCTGCATTAAACTGAAATTTGCATGCCTCTTACCAATCTAGTTCCTCAAATATAGTAGAGTTCCGAGGAAATAAAGAACAGCTGGTTTGACCAGTACTGCAACCACGTCGTGACCAGCGGCCTATTCGATACCTTTGGACATGAACACCTCTGCGTGGGGCACACCCACGAAGATGTCGGTCGCCAACTTATCAACTCAATGAACACTTATCAATCGCCACCCAGCCATGTACTTGCTCACCTCAACTCAACTAAGATGCCTTCTTCGGCTTGCTGAGCAAAATAATCAAGGATGGCGACGAAGAGCTGTCCTTTCCCCAGATTCCTCAGCTGTTTTGGGCTGCGCATGTTTGCCTCTTATATAAGGCAATGCCCTCCAGATATCGTAAGGCCACTCCGCAAAACTTTGAGAAACTGTGCAAAACGCAGAAAAACCAGCTTCCTACGCCAGACTATCTCAGGTTCCTGAATAAGAAATTGAAGGCACGCTTCCAAGACAAGAACATTTTCTTTCAAGCCACCTATGTGACTGCAGTCCGGGATTGGTGTGCAAACTTTAAAAGATATAGTTCGACCTATGGTGCTTACCGAAAGCGGTCCGCCAAAGACAAGAAGATTATCCCACATTCGTTCACCTTCATCCGAAGAGACTGCCCCTAGCACGCAATAGTGAGCAAGACTTGATACTTAGTAGTTTCTAACTTCCATAGTTTGGGCTCAGGTTTGCCTGCCCATCTGGCTATGCAAGTTCCTTGGTTCCTGACAACAGTAACCATAGTGTTTTCCTTGGCTATACATGTTCCTGTCGCCGAGGCTAGCAATAAATTGCCCCCTCGTCTTGGTGATGAACATGGCAGTGATGTGGTCTTGCTGCTCAAGACCTTTGTGGCAGATCGGGATCTCTGCCAACCACCTTTGATCGTGTACCCAGGGTGCAAGAGCTCCGAGGCGCGTGACGCGCTATGCAAGATTGCCAGGAATGAAGTGCCTGGAACCTTGTCCCTGAAAGTCTTCTAAGTCTGCAACCTTGTATTGAAACCAAGCCCCCTTTAATCTATTGCATCCCAGGAGTGTCCGTCCATTTGGAACAAACCACGAAAGATGTTTACCTTGAGATCGCAGAGTTCCTGGCTGAACACTACCCACAGTGACTTATATTAACACTTGATGTCCATCGTTTGTTTGTTGTACCTTGTGGCCAATTAAGTTTGAGGTATGGAAGAGGGATTGCATATCTACGGCAGCTGGGCGGCGTTCTGGCAATGCCACGGAATGAACCGCCTCAGTTGCCATTCATTGAAAACATGGGAGCTGGTGTGCAACATGACGCACTGATCTTGAGGGATCCTGAACCCCATGTGATCCATACAATGCAGGTCCGATTCCACAGGTATGGATAAAGATTCCGTGCAGACACTGGTCAAAAAGGTTTCCCATGCTTCTTTGTGTTTGGTTGCGAGTTCAAACTCATTGTTTGCTTCATGATCTTCTCAAGACTTAATGCCTGGAAGTATCTTTGGTTTCCAGGTTTCCCTGACTGAGCTTTAGGGGGTGGGCCGCCGTGCTTCGCAGCATGGCACCGGAAGTCAAAGAAGAGAACAAAGAGAATGTCAAGCTGGAAAATCATCCAAAAACAGATCTTTGTCTTAAATTTGTTCAGCCTCTCTTTTTGCCAATTGTTGTTCTTAAATGAGCAATCAAGAGTCTAATCCAGCAACCAGTGCCCAGGAAGAAGATCCAGATGAAGGAGACCAGGATGCCTTGCCAAAGTCCATCACTGAGCGCCTCACAGCGGCAATGGAGGAGGCCCCTTGCATATCATGGTATTGTCATGTCCATCAGGTTTGCTTCTGGGCAGGTGACCGGAAGCCACAACATGGGGAAATGGCTGTTTGACAACCTTGGATCCGAAGAGGGCCAAAAAAGGTTCTTGCTCGCAACACGGCTACAAGCAGTGATGAGGCACATACTGTTTGCTCCCTAAAATTGTTAGCAAGCCTAGGCCATGGACTCCTTGTTTACTCTACCATGTGTTCACAAGCACGTGGAGCTTCAAAACGTCCTAAAGACCGTCCCTGCCACTTCAAAGCAATTCTTTCTCGGTGTGTGGCACTTTGACTTCTCACCAAAGTCCAAATATGGAGAGCAGGGTCGCTTTCCCACGAACATTGCCTACAAGAACCACTTTCACTCCTTCATCACCACTGGATATGAATCAGGGAGGGAGACAGTGGATGTGCGCTTCCAACATGGCGCCACGACCTGTGATGACATCAGCCCATTCTCTGTCCAGTTCGTTGATGGACAAAACAAGCTGCTTATAATGCAGTCGGTGATCGCCTTGATGGAGAATCTAGATCCATGGCCAGAAAAAAACAAACAAAGCAATGGGGGAGGCTTCGAGGTCCTCTTCCACTGCCCGCCTCTGTTTGTCCACTGCCAAGGATGTGAAGAAAGAGGATCTCGAAGAGGATCCTGAGTTCTGCAAAGTGATCGCCAGCTTCAAGTATGTGAAGTGCAACTTCAAGAAGTTGCAAAAGGCGGAGGATTACATCTATGAATCTTTGAGTCTGCTGACATTCTCAAACTAAATGTTGTGTACTATTATTGCATTGTATTTGGACGACATGTGCAACAATCAAGACTCTTCGATACACTTTGTTCTTTGGGCTCAGGTATCGCAAACAGGACCGCGGAAAAGGTCAAGCCCTCTTGCTTGGACTATGTCCTCTTGTTCAAAGAAGCGGTGCGCCTTAAACAAGAGGCATCCCCACATTTGAGCGTGCGAGACTGCCTACTTTGCGCAATCACTGAGTATAACAAAAGGACTGCCAAGGCTGGGTGAAAAAAAGACTGGTGTGTAACCTTGTGAAAAAATCTGCCCATCTGCCAGAACTGGCGAGTGGGCGATGGCATGAGGAAGCTGGTATACAACTTAATGCGTGGACCATCGGAGCTGTTGGCTCTTCTGGGAGAAATGTACGAGAACACAAAGCCCGAAACTGCAGGCAGGACAAATAAAGTGGTAGGCTTGACTTCATTTAAACAAAACCAACCAGCTGCCCTGCCAGCCCTCAACACGGAGAACTTGGATGGGGACTGGTACCTCCCTGGATCAATTCCAGATGGCGTCGAGGGCATCTGGCGAGAGAGTCAGGCGTTTTGTTTCTTCAAAACAGTACAACGCTTCAAAAACATAACCCTATTGAACTATTTGGGAATCAATGTCCCAGGTGGTCACAGAAGATGCGATTTTGATCTGGGCTCTCCGGGTTCGAGACGACTACAACCGCAGGGCGCCACGAGGTTCTTCCTTCAAAGTGAAGGACACTGGGTAATAATTTTTCATAATTTTTCATTTTCCTGTCTAAGTCTGTGTTCTGTGCTGCCCAAACCAAAATGATCCTGCTGAGAAAATGGCGCAAAGAGATTCAGCTTCCCTTCAAGAATTGATGCGAATCACTTGCCTCTTTTGCTGGCTTATCCCAAAGATGGAGCTTCAACTGGGTACTGGCAAAGTCATGGACTCCATTCATGAGATGTGGAAAATGGGGCTGCTTGGAGGAAAGGAAACCTTAGAAACAAACCGCGGGACTCAGTCCAGGGTGGAAAAACAAACCGCAGGATTTGATTGGAACAATTCAATCTAAGGAAAAACCAAGGGATTTGGTTGGAACAGCTCAGTCTGAGGAAAAACCGCAGGATTTTCTGGAAGCTGAAGTTAACTTCCAAAGATCATGTGGTCTCATAATTCCGCAGGATTTTTTTTTTATCATTTTTATAAGACAGGTAAATTTTTGCATCTTAGAATCTAAGATCAAAAAATTTACCTGTCTTATAAAAGTTATAAAAAAATCCTGTGGAATTTTGAGACCGCATGATTTTTGGAAGTTAACTTCAGCTTCCAGAAAATCCAGTGGTTCTTCATTGCTGCACGTTTGTAGCTGCAAAATAAACCGCTTGATTTGTCAGGGGATGGAAAAACAAACCGCGGGATTGGTCAGGGGATGGAAAAACAAACCGCAGGATTGGTCAGGGGATGGAAAAACAAACCGCAGGATTGGTCAGGGGATGGAAAAACAAACCGCAGGATTCTAGGCTGACCGTGGTCCTTGGAATAAAACCGCGTGATTTGTGGAGGAATGAAAAAAAAACCGCAGGATTTGTCCAGGGATTGAAAAACAAACCGCGTGATTTGGAGAGTATTGGAAAATAAAACCGCAGGATTTGTCAGGGGATGGAAAACACACACCGTGGGAACTTGGGCTGATAGCGGTCCTGGGAACAAACTCGCGCGGCGTGGCTATGGATTTCTATATTATGTGAGTTGGGATGCTTTGCAAATCATAAACATGTTTTTATAATATAGTAAGAAATCAGACACCGCTCAGACAAACAGCACCTTACTTCAAGCCTCACAACACCACAAACCCTTGCACTTCACTTCACCATGTATCAGTTCACCTACCTGGACAGAAATCAGCAACCATTAAATCATATTAAATCAGAACTATAACAGCCCTGAATCATTCATTATCTATAAACTTCCACGCCGAGCTTGTCATGTACATTGATTTGGACCTCAAAAAGCCTTTGGTTTTAAGTTTTAAATACTATTGAATAGGTTGTTCTATTCAAGATGTGTGTAAATCACCTCATGGGGTGCATTTGGTGGTGGAATGCAGGAATTAGTTTCTATACAGCACAGTAATATGTCATATCATCTGTAGAACGAGGGAGAGACAAGGGTAGCTACAGATAGATGTTAAGTTAGTTTGGAAAAACATACTGTGTCCAAAGAGTTTGCAAACGCGGGTAGTTCCCAACATGTTAACTAGGTTCTAATGAAAGCAACATCATTGGTAGGAAGAAACAACACATAGTGCGCAGGTTTGCTTTCCCTAAGGCCACTTCAAAATTGTTTGCGTTGACAAACAAAACGATACAGGAAAAAACACTCATTATTCAATGGTCCTTGTTTGCACTGAGGGCTCTGGATTCCGAGTTGCGTGCCCATATCAAGGGAGGCGACCCCCAGTTTGATGTGACCAAGTTGGCATTTTTTCAAGAAGCGACTGGAATTGCCCAAGAGACCCACATTGCCGAAGCCCAAAGCGCTGTGGCAAATGCCCAGAAGTCAAGTCTGGTTGCGGCCTTTGGCTTGTTCCAAACATCCTTGGGGAACGACCAATGTTTGCACGACAGATATCTCGCCGCCTCTAAGACAGATGAGACGCGGGCCAGGAATGCCGTGTTGGAGAGCTTGGAGGACAAACCGTGAAAATTTGGGTTGAAGTTTGGGTTGAGTTGTATCGATATATTAAGTTTAAGGAACTGATGCAACTCTGGGCCCTGGCAGAAAATGCACCAAACGGCATGGAGCCTTGTCTCCAACTTCATTGGTGAGACCTTGCCGACTTGGAATGCCACACCCAAGAAAGTTCAAGGTGCATCAAGTTGGTTTGTAGTCTGATTCTGTTTCTTGACCAGTCCAACATTTGACCACTTCAATTGTGATTTTTTGGCAAGTCGGATGCTAAGTGTTGTTATGCATTATGCACTGTGCTCCCGCAGGTGTTGAGTCAGAAGACAGTCTGGGAGCCAGCACAGTCTCTGGAAAGGTGACACCATGGCTTCAACAGACACTCCAAGGCATGGGGAGCGGACTTCGAAGATTTGACAAGGAGCGTGTGGTCGGCTTTGTGAACTATGTGAGCTCCGGCATAGTCAGTGGGCCCAAAATGCTGTACACAATCGAGGCAATCACGCAGTTGGCCCACAGTCATCCTCGCACCTTCATCGGCCTGATCCTGCTCCCGAACCGTTCAGGTGACCTGCGGACAACGTCTGTCAAGCAGCTGGGCTGACATTCACTGGATTGAACTGGTTTCTTATGAATCTTAACCAGTTTGCAGGTGAACTAAAGACATAGGTATGCGATGGTGACTTCAACTTTTTCCTAGGCAAGAGAAGAAGGATGACATCGATATGGACGACGAGGACAATAATGGAGTCACTGAAGGACTGCACCTTGTCCTTCTCGTTGTTTGCTGTTGCCAATCTAGCAGTTTTAAACTTGAGGCGGTGAGCCAGCTTCATTCGATGACGCTGCAGATGATGACAAGGGTTCGAACTCCGACATGATCCTGCATGAATTTATCTACAAGCTCAAAGCCCGGTACATGGACAATGATCGAGGACTTCGCGACTCTTGGCTGTAAGAAGTGGACAGCTACTAGCAGTCTTTTGTTTTTCTTCTCTTTTTTGTTTTCTGGTCCACTGATTGTATCGTGTTTACTGTTTTGCGAGCAATCATAGGTGAAGGAAGCAACGATCGTGTTCGACCCCACCACCACGTATGGTGGCCGCAGTGGTTGCCACCAATGCTTGCTCGTCACTGCCATTGACAAGACCAACGTGTTCTGGAAGAGCAAAGCTTGGAGAACTTTAGTGATCCCAGATGTGGCAATGCTGCCGCGATCGGAGATGGTCAGGGTGGAAAAGACTAGCAAGACCTTCGCCACCGACAGCAAAATGACCCCTGTGCAGGAGTTGAAGCAGGCTTGTCTTAGTCCAAACCTGTCTACACTCTAGAGCGTACACACACGCACTAGCATATGGATAGTAATATGGATCAAACAAGACAGACTGACCAGGACATAGAGGTACTCACGTTGGGATGAGCTCAAAACAACAAGACCTTTTTGAAGATGAGTTTAAACATGTTTAAACTGTCTTGTAAGGGATTAAATTGAAGATCGTATAATAAACTTATTATACTTGTAGCAACTATGTGTCTTTTGATGTAAATAGTTGGATGTAAAAACCATTGATACATTGTTGAGGTCATTAAGGTAAAAGACTTTGACTGACTTCAGCGTTGAAATCATTGGAACCATTTTCTATCCAACTCTAATATTGGGTTCACACTAACTTTGCTCTCCCTGCAGCACTTGGCCGGCATCTCGGTTGTTGGCAAGTGCGTGGAGTCACTGACAGACCCGGCAGACAATTACAATGTGATCCTGGACATGCTTGGCTACGATGGGCAGTGCGCAGCATATTGCTTGAAGGAGCACGCAGCTGGCAATCACTGGGCAGCGGCTACAATTTGCCACAGCGACCATGAGACAGCTTTTGTTGGTGAGCTCACAGCCAACAAGGTGTTTTCAGCTGCAAGAGCTGGTCAGCTCAAGCTGCCCGGGTTTCCAAATTTTCAGTCTGTAGTGGCAGAGCTCAAGGCGAAGAAGACCCAGCCCTTTCCAGAGTACAGCGTGTGCACTGCACTTCCAGATGGAACACTGGTGATCAAGCAAGCTTTGATTGAGTTGTGGACTCAAAGACATGAAATGTTTTGCACCGACATGGAACCTGGACTTCATTTAGTAATTTTGCTCCCCCTGCCACTACCCACTTCATATTGTTAATATTCAACTCGGGCTGACTTGGATTGACAGCACAAGAAACATCAAAACGTTGACCCCTCCAAATACAATACAGAAATTGAGTAAAGAAAGTTCTTATTGACCAAACAGTCCAACTTAGGAAAAGATCGTTCGCGAGCACAATGAGAAATACAACCCACCAGGTGTGAAACGAGGGGCTGCTGTAGAAGAGAACGCGGAAGAGCAGGAGCGGCCCTCCAAGAAGATATGCTTGGACAAGGATCGCCCTGCAAGCGATGAGAGCTCGATGGGAGACAAGCTTCTCGTCAAAACAAGAAGAGTTGCACACCCACCGAACAAGCAGTGAATTCAGCCCCCCACATTGTTTCAAAACCAAGGTGTGTCCTTTCTTGCGGTAGCTTCAAGCTGCTGTACGACAAGGCAGGTGATGCTTTGTGGATGCTGCGAGAAGCCAAGGGCTCTGAGGCAACAGATGTCAACATGTCAGGGCCTATGGAGTTGTGTGGGTTTGGGTCAGGAGATTTTGTCTCTGGGCCAGAACTTTGGCCCAACATGAGTTTACAATAGTTTATGGACAATTGTTTCATCACCATGGACTTACTGTAATACGCAATGCGTTTGTTTGCAACTAGTGTTTCAAGACAGGCCAAATCTGACACCGAGGAGTGTTCCGATGTTACTTCTGATACAGGCAAAAGTGGGCGATGGATTAACTATGGCATTTCTTCCACATCAGACCTGGTGATCGTTGAAGTGGACAAGAAAGTCCCCGAACACATCAAGAAGCTAAACACCTGGAACAAAGTGTTTGGGTGGCACCGAATGGTTCATAGACTCACAAATATCACATTTATCCACTCAAGATACATGGGAGACTTTATGGTTGGAGTAAGGAACCTACACATATCATTTGAAGTAGATACTATATTGAAATTTTGTGCTTTAATCAATATGGAACTGTTTAGTTTCATTTTCAGGACTTAACATTTCTTTGGGATACCAATTCTCAATAAATAACATGGCTGAAATGTTTGCCACCTACCATTTTTCATATACCAACTGCATCTACTCTATACGTGTGGAGGGGTCAGCGTCGATGCCGCGACTCAAAAAGGTTATGGACAATAAATGGACAGCATTGTTTTGTTCAGGAAGAAATATCCTGGGCATATACCATATCCTGGGCCACATTCCCTGACAACGTGTCCCTGACAATCTATTCAGCCGACGGCCATTGAACCTCCTGTGTAGGTAGTGGGTGCAAAGTGGCGCCCTGTATTGATCAACATTTAGGGCACTAGTGTGGACAAGCAGTAAGATAGCGGGGGCCCTCTCAAGAAGTAGCCCGACATAACAAAACACTTGGAAGCTCCACACACTCCTCACCCCTGCAAAACCTTGAGGTCGTTATAAAGTAGACAGTATAGATGTGAGCTCGCTTCCCATAATGGATTGTAATGTCTTCCTGGTAGGTTGATACATAAGACACTATTCAAACATCAACCGCTACCGATGGTTTTTTCTCTAGTGGAAGTAGATTGTAATGTCTTCCTGGTAGGTTGCTACATAAGACACTAAGTATTGAAACGTCCACCACTACCAATGAGTTGTTCCCTGGTGGAAGTAACTTACATCCATTGAAAAACTCAAGTACTATCAACACTACGATTGAGAACTTTCCAAGTGCATTGCACGTTCTCCTAAAACAAGTTGCTTTGCTCTTATCTCAGGTGATTGAGCTGAAAGACATCATCCACACATTAGAGAACGCAGGGGAGATTGGCTTGACCCTTGCCCTGCACAACGTGGATGGGGACACTGTGAAGCAAAACAAACCATGTTGCTTCGCGCTCGAGCCCCTGAAGGACAAGTCCCAGGAAAAGAAGGTCTGGGTTCTGTTGTGAGCAATCTTGATTCTGTTGCAATTTGGTTCTGTTCAAATCTCCTGTTCTTTTATGCATCCAGGTGGGCCACGCAGCCACCTTTGGAGCTAGATTGAACTTGGCCAAGGTCCGCACGAATCAAAACATCAAGCTCTGTTGGCGCATGAGGCCAGGCCCAAAGATTGCTATTCCAAAATGGGGATCCGGGAATAACAAGTCTCTACAAGGCCTTAGCCTGTGGACCTTAGCCTTAGCAACAAAACCCTCTCGTGCGATGACTTGCAGAGTGTCTGAGGCTTGTCTGCAATGAAGGTGGAAAGCAGCTATCGCCCATCCGCCCGGTGATGGTTCTACCTGGGGACATGGCGCTCAAGTCGGACAAAATGTACTTGCTCGCCTGAGGTCTCAAAACCAGACCCTTGTGTCTGGTTCAATCTCCCAAACTATGTTGGCTTTCATTAGGCTTGTTCAGCACTTCAACTTCTGTTCCCAACTTCTTATTCAACTTCTTGTTTCAGCACTTATAAGTAACCTAAGCCTCAAGAGAAGTTGTGTTTGGGCCAACTTGTGATTAGATCCAGTCGTGCTGTTTGGGACGTGGGTCTCACTGTCTCCTAGACCAGTGCAGCGGGGGTCCCATTTTGATCGCGACTGCTGTGGAGAGAAAAGATGCCCAGTTAACTGACTGTCTGTTAGCAGATTCAAATAAATCTGGTGAGCCTACAGTGATGAACATGTCGGGTGGATTCTAGTTGGAGCACCATGCCAGTGCCTCTCGGCTAAATCATATAGTGGTGTTGAAAGGTAGATCCCAGTGGGCAGGGGCGCGGCATGTCTTCAGATTTCCATCTTGACCGAAAGTTCAGTGTGGGCGACTACAATGACATCCTCGCTCTTGCTGGCGGATCGAAACCACCACCGGTGAACCCATCTTCCCGGCCATCCGCACTACATGGTAGTGGCTTTGGCAGCTTTTACCACTTACTGTGGCTAAGAACAAATTTAAAGTATCTTCCACTCTAGACCGTGGCTGTAACTTTTCGTGGTCCTAGGTGCCAGTCAAACATCAACTCTTTGTCGTCCTGGGTGCCAGTGGCTCCACACTTTCTAATCCTGGGTTTGGTCGCGTTGAGCTCAAAAGTTCTTCAGAGTCACCAGACAAGAAAGAGGAGAAGGCAGGGCGTGGGTTGGTTGTGTGTTGACAGTATGGCCATACAATGCCATCCAATACCGCTGCCATCCATTGGCCTAGGATGAGAAGCAAACCAAAAAGAAAGAGAACAAAACGGGGAGTGTGAAGTCATCAACAAAAAAAAGGAGGAAGCGCCAGACAAGAAAAGAAAGAAGAAAGATGAAGCGGATGACCTCTTTGATTTTGATCCCTTGGGTGCAAAAGACGAAGATGATGAAGAAGACAGGGAAGGAGCTGGGGATGACAGTGAACAGCAGAAGAAAAAGAAGAAGAAAGCAGAGAAAGCTGCAATCCAAAAGAAACCATCCAAGAAAACACAATCCGGCGAAAGAAAGGGAAAGCCAGGAAGGCCCAAGAAAAACTCTGCTGATGCTGGGTTGCATCTTGTTAGTGACCCCATCGCACTCATGTCCGCAGCTCTTCCCCATCCCATCACATTCACATCCTTTGAACCATGTTGCTTCCAAGGACGCTCTGCAAGTTGATGAATCTGACAACGACGACGGCGATGATTACCTTGCCGGAGTCTCGCTCAAAGAGCTGGGGAACGCTATGGAGTGTGAGAAGCCGGTTTCCTCTTTCATCCAGGACTGGGAATTGACAAAACCAAAAAACATGCTGTGGTGGCAAAACCAAGAATGGATACCGGTGAATATTTTTTGGGAACCTTCTTGAAACCATCCAGGACCAGAAGGATCACGATGCAACCGATTCAGAGAGGACGCTTTGTCTTGGTGAGGAAGGCATCAACATGGACAAGGACAAGGTTTTTCTTAACAGCGTGTTTTATTCACAGGGGGCACAACAAATGAAACCACATGAAACCTATGGCAACGAGAGTGAATCACACACCCAAGTTCCACCTTCTCCTTTACTTTGCTGCCATTCTTTCAAAGGGTATTCAGCCGATCTAGACCAATCTGAAGTGGTCACCAGGACAAGATGACCGGGCAAGGTGAGTCGACCCAGCAACAGTCTTGGCCTACGACTCCCGTGCCAACACCGTGCAGGGGAAACGCACCCAGCCCAAATGATGTCCCCGCTCCCAAGGACAGCGCATGTTGATATTCAATGATGGCATTATTTTCCATGGGTAAATCAATGCTTTACCCAACAAACATGACATGATGCCATGATGCTCAGATACTTTTGATTTGCTCAAGAAACTTCAACAGGTGACTGTGCGGCCGGGCTTCACTATCCCGGCTCAAGTATTGATGAATCCACTGCCTTCGGAGCTGAGACGCGAGGAGTTGCTGCGGCGTTCAAACGCGTGTTGCTTTGTGGACGGCTACATCTCATCACCATCCCCCGTGGCCTCTGAAATGGATGACCCTGGCCTACTGCCATCAGACTCCAAGGCTGGTTCACACTTAGGAAAAAACGTTTTAAAGGGTCCAACCTTTCCACCTTTTGAATACCACCTTTGTCCAGATTTTGAACACCTTTTAGCAACGCCAAGGAGGTGGAGAAAGAGAAGGCTGTGGAAATGGTGCCTTTGGAATCTGAGAAATTGGATCAGGACGCTGTGGAAGCCATGGAGGGAACCGATTGCAAAAAGAATGAGGTGCATGTTTCGAATGAGATGTCCCAACAATTGCCTAGTGTGGAACCTGAAGGTGGTGCTCGTCCAAAAAAACATACTGCCAGTAAAGCAGCCCCGGCAAAGCGGCATCGAGGGAAGCAACCCGACAAGTCTGAACAGCCTGCCACACACAACAACGTTACTTAGCAGTTCAATGTAGTTTTGCTTGTCCACAAGCCTTCATTTGTGACCTTTCTGCACCTCCTGCCTCAAAGCTGGTAATGAGGCTGGTGATACTGATGCAGAGAAGGAGATGACTATCAAAAGGGCACTGCATAGTGTCCCTCTGCTGATACTGGGACTGGGGCTAGTTCCAAAGTTAGGCTGGGAAGAACTGTCCTTGCCAATCAATCTGGGGTGGAAGATTTGAGGTCTACAGTGCTGCTTGGAAAGCGGCTAAACTTCGTGGGGAATCGAAAGAACAGTGTGCCCAGGAGGCTCGGGAGGCAAGGAAACTGTCTCTTGGCCTAAATTTGCTCAAGGGTAAACCTAGTACTTACCAAAGAGTTTTGCCTAAAAAGGCGACCTGCAACCTGAAAGGTATTGCTGGGAGAATTATCGTGATCGCAACAGCCCTGTGGTTCAGAAGCTTGACTGCCAGCCAACAGAGTTCACTTTAGCTCATTGGAAACTTTGTTTTTTGTCGTTGGCTGACCTAATGGGTTTACAAAGTTGTAGGTCTAGCTTCTCTCTTCAACATTGTCAGGAAGTGGCTGCAGAACTAATCGGCTTATGAATCTTTTGTCCAAGCTTGAACTGCCTTGGACTGCTTTGGGGATTTGGCTGACCAGCCGAAAGATGCTTTGAGTCATCTTCAATACATTTGGAAGCGGACAACTGCTAACTTGCAGCGTGGAAAAAAAGCTTTCAAGACCGACGCGCCCTGGTCCTCCCATACCCAAGAGGTTCAGCTACTAAGTATGAGCCATGGTGCCTTTTAGAAAGAGCCGCGAATCTTGCAGGCAAACATCGCACAGGATCATCCCAAAGGGAAACAATGCATGACGAGCTGTTCTGAATTGTTCATCTTTGCCTTCATCTTCTCACATTACCTGGTTACAACATGTTACAACCATTAATCTTACATAATCTGACCCAACAATTTTGAGCAAGTTGGTTCATGAACCAAGTCTGGAACAAACAGAGTTGAGCCACAGCTGATGTGCGAAAGCTGATACAGCAAACTAAAGCACAAGAAAACAAAGACCTGGTTCCATTTGGTCAAGGATCTGGTTACCATGAGTGACTCTTATAGTTAGTTGGAATATGTTTTGTCCAACACCCTCAATGACTCAACACAAAGCTGGACCACCATCAACATGAACAAAGCGTGGGATGCTATGCTATAATGCTATATGTCTAAATATTCCGGGCAAGATTTTGACAAGTACACTTGCAACATGCGAGAGCAAACTATTGAATATCAACTACCATTCCAACAATAGTTCACTTTCTGGAAGAAGTCACACGAAACACCTCTTACTGTAATATTATCAGTGTGAGTATCAGCGTGAAGCACCTCACGAAAACATCTCATCCATCTATCTTACTTCAAAGCTTTCAATCTAAGTGTGTTGTTTGCGAGTGAGGTACTTGGGCTGTAGGATGCTGTAGTAAAGCTTTTCAAAATAGGTTGGGTTTTGACAACTTGTTGCCATTCTAGGGTTACAGGCGGTGGCGACAAAAGAAACATAACAAATCTTGCTCAAATGAAAGGACTGGATAGGACCTGGTGAGGCCCTCTGGATACTTCGTGCTACTAGTAACAAGCGCATCGCTACTAGCAACAAGGGCATCACTACTAGTAACAAGAAGCTACTAGTTTGGCGGCAGACAGATTGCTCCGACGGAGGACGTGGTGCTCTTCGACCGGACCTTTGGCTTTGAGAGCGCAGTGGCCAAGGCCGACGGGATGTGTAGAGTGCACTCGCTGGCGGAGTCGTAGTAACGGGAGAATACAGTGAGATGTAGTGAGCATTGACATTTTGTCATATTTTGTCTAGGGGAGTGATGTGGCCAGAGATCCAAAGATTTTACAGTGTTCATTTTGGTGTTTCCCGAGTTCTATCAGCGGTGATTCTTCGATAGGGCGAGACACAGACACCCCCAAAGAACTGCGCACGTGTGCACCTTCTTGTTGGTGCGAACTTGGAAAGCACAAAGGTCATGGATCGACCCCCTCTTTTCGTTCGACTGAACCCGTTGCCGGCACCGCTGACGCTCGATCTGGGAGGCCTCGGAGGTGATCCGGAACGCCTGGGTGGAGGCCTCCAGCTGTGAGCGAGGTGCCCGGATTACGGTGGTTTTTGAGACGGTAGCAATTTTCGCTACTAGGAGCAAAGGGCATCGCTACTAGGAGCAAGGACGCTACTAGGGGCTCCTGGCCGTACTACTAGCAGCAAAGGACGCTACTAGTGGCCGAAAGGTGCTCTCTGACATCCGGTAGAGATCCGACACAAAGAGCGTCACATCCGGTAGGTAAGAAGCGACGAACGTAGCAAAGGGCTACTGGCTACTAGTATCAAGGGCATTAATTCATGTAAGAAGCTCACTTGCCTAGTAACAAGAATGTGCATTCTGTTGAGTGTGAAAGAAAACAGAAGCTCTTTGGCTTGAGGGACCCTGGCACTCACAAGACTTGGAAGCCCTCAAGATGTCCAAGCTGTGGTCTTTTTGATATAACAACCAACTCACAGTGGACTGGCATAACATTCTATGACCATTTTCAACCTCTTGTCTGGTGCGAAGAGGTGTGGGCATTGTGAAGCTCATGGGACGAGACTCTGGCTTTGTTGCCATGCATGCAGCAACTGCAGCAGATGTGGTGGACCTGTGCATGATTCCGGAGGTCAAGGTAGAGATGAAGGACTCTGCTCAATTCTGCTTGCGTGACTGGAATGTGTTGGGGGCTGTTAGGGGTGCTTGGATCATTCACCCGCTTCAATGGAGAGCTCGAACATTCTGAACTTTGGAACAGAGCTTGCTCGTGAGCATTCGCCTTTAAGACGCTACACTTACTCTCCAAAGTTCTTTTGCAAAGTCAAGGTGTTTATCGCACGTACGAAAACGCACCACCCCAAACGTGTCCAGTTGGTCGAGCTTCGCAGACCTTTGCAGAGATCCTTTGTTTGACAGGATGTCCTGGCACATGTGGATCGCACCTTGGCGCAAAAGGGCTACATGGTCATTGCCGTGGCCGAGGGAGCTGGCCAGGAGCACGTCTCCACGGGCGAAAAGGAGCCAGTCATCTCGACACGAAGACGCGCACAGACTCGTTGTCTTGCCGGGAGATTATTGGTTTGGGAGCGAGAAAAGCTCATGCCATTTCTCCAAAATTTTTCTCCTGCATTTGGGCTTTCGGTGACTTGATAGCTAGTGAAGTACCAGTGTGAGTGCACAAACGGGAGAGTGAGAGGGAGAGATGGAGAGAGCAAGCAGAGAGTTCATTGACCTGGACCCATCTCAATTCTTCTATATAATGGACATCCTTCACCCTTGATGATGGCCTGTAGCAGCAATCTTGAAGGACGCCACTGGCCACACTGTTTACGGTGACATTGGTGTCTTTCTGCGGGACACCTTGAACAAACATTTGCTCCTTGGCTTGAGCAACCTATGGTGCTGTGGTATGTAGAACATGGAAAACACACAAGTACAAACAGTGATCGACCCCAAAACATGTACTACTGCTGGATGCTATGGGATTTAGAAAGCACAGGAGCTCATACTTTCCCAATTCAGTTGCCTTGATTCCTAGAGTGTGGGGAAAGCTATATGGATCTTTTGTTGTAGTGAGGATGTGAGATAGCTGCTAGCTGCTAGCTGAAAACCAAAACCAGCTGATCATTAGATGGCTACCCTCACCAATAGTTTTTTTGCTGCTGGACGGTCCTATCTCATCCTATATTTGGGAAACGTTCAGCCCAAGAGTGCATCCAACATGACATGGCCTAGTGTTTGACCTACCAATCTCCCATGTCACTTGGAGCCCTGGATTGTTTTTGATCTGGGGTCAAGTATACTGGTGCTGTAGCTAGAGCAGCTAGAGCAGCGATCATATTCAGCTAGAAACTTCAGAAATACGTCCAAGTGTCAAGCAGTCATGGGAGTGTGCCACAAGCATTGCATCAGTCGGGCACCCGAGGAAACCATCAGGTGGGCGCACCTTCTACATCGACCCATCCTACATCATTCGCACCTCGTTGTGCAACACCTGTATTGTGCCATTGAGTGTGGTCGAGCAATGAGCGAGTAGCGAGTCAGACCTCACTCTACAAATCTCTTACAATTAGTTTCCGATGCCTTGAGATATATCTAGAGAACCAATTGTTTCTCAGATACCGCTTTGTTTGCTTTCTTTTGAGTTTGCAAAAAGAAGGCATCGCATCATCATAAGTATTTGGGACCTCGACTCAAGCCTTTGAGGTTCAGTGCCAATCAACCCCAATGACCATATCTACTGTGTACGCTTGGCCAATGACGCTGTGCACACGGCGATGCGGGGCTACACGGGTGTTTGCGTGGGAGCGATGCACAACGTGATTAGCATGTTGCCTTGCAGGCTGGAAGGCAACATGTTAGCGGAGGATGGGAGAATCGGAGAAACAATCGAAGAAGGCTTAGTGACAAACCTTAGTGACAATTGGAATGGGCCTTTGAATGCACATTTTGTAACTTAGTTCATTGAGCTGGGCCTTTGGGTACCTGGATGTACCTGGTTCTGGGACCAGCGCTGCCTGGTTTGGGTCTACTTCCTGCGAAAGTTCGCCAGAGGAAAGGGTCCTTCTTGAAGATGAACCACAGTTTCTTTCCCAGGGGCGGTGCCGTTCTGATCTTAATGAAATGCGGCTTTTCAGGATTCCTTGGGTGTTTGCCAGATCGTTCGCTCGGTTTTCATCCATATCTATGACATTCGTGAAGCACTTTGTGGGGTTTGGGACCCAGATGAACCCAGCAAGCATGTGGGTGTGTAAATAGGGGGGACCCCCAATCAATCAATAGGTTTTGGTTTATTGCCCTTCTTCCAGGGGGTCTTTGGGAGGTCTGCCTGTTTCCATGTTTACTGTCACTTCCATGTTACTGGTCTGGGAGGATCCACTTCAGACTGATGGATAATGATGGACAACAAGCTCTGAAGCCTTTGCACATCTTTGCACTATTCTTGCTGAGAAGCCTTCCAACCTCGCTTCGAAGAAGGGTCGTTTTGCCAGGCTGATTGCCGGTGGGAAGAAAAAGGTCCGTCCTCACAGCAGCTCCTGGCAAGGATGTGTCGGGGCTCTCGGCCTTCTTGGAAAACCATCCACGGACCTTTTGCGACCAAAACGCTCAGAGGTGAGTGCGACCCAAACAACCATGTCCTGTACGATTTTGGTATTGCGGTTTGAAAAACTGCATGTTAGACACATATTAGACGTATGTGAACCAACGTTGCAAGATGTTAGTTGTATTGGTTCCTACAGCATGCTACAGCATTCAATCCCAATCCATATGGATTTGTTCCACGGTGCAATGGTCTTCTGCTGCTCAGGTGCAGATCTGTGGGATGCCCAGAAGTTTGTCCGGACTCGAGACTTGCGCTCGCTCAGGGTATGCCTGAAGCAGAAATGTTTAAGTGTTATGAGGTTGGATGCCTCCATCCAAATCCTCAAACATGCCACTCTTGTGCGATGTGGACCCTTGCAAAAGAAGGTAACCGGCGCGCAGTTTTTCTTTCAAAGGGTTCTGCTGCGGTGCCTTAATTGCTTCCTAAGCAATTAGTTTGAGCAGCGAAGCGCCATCCAGTACTGACAAGCTTTGAGTTGTCATAGTTTTAGAGGCCTAACTCCGTCCATTTCAGGAACCACAACATCTCACCTCTTTCTCTCAACACTCTTTCACCAACACACCACACACACTTTTTTTTTAATGCCCTTGACAAAACGTAATTATCACATGCCGTTGTTTCACAAGTCCAACGACCTGTTATTGCTTCAAAACGGTTGCACCTCTCAGCGCTCCTCCACTACGTATTCTCGCCGGCTCTGTCACCAACAACGGCAAGCATCGGAACACCTTTTGATTTAACACTTTGTTCTGGCGCAACCTGTTGGTTTCGTGGTTCCTGCAAGCACAAATTGCGCGCGTAGTTCCATTTCTTGAGTCTGTTTATTGAACGTCGGAGTAACTCGTGTACAGAAGACTTTGACGCAGATCAGATTCAGGCCGAGCACCATGGAATTGGAGACAAGATGCCGTATTCGCGGCCCAGCAAAGTTCCCTTGAACCACCTTCAGAGAAATCCAATTCCACATATTCTTGGCAGATTGCAATGCTCTCGCCCTGAGAATACTTTGAATGCTCTTGGTGGCGTTTTGATGTACAGAAGTTTCCACTTTCATGCCCCTGGCAAACAAGTCCCGGGGCAGAATGCTCAGCTTCAAAGTGGCAAAGGAAACGGCTGCAGAGAGTCACCCAGCAACATTCATAGAAGGTTAGCTTTGGATACATGAAATCCTAAAACCTCTAGAGTTTGCGTTTTGGGGCAATCCTCGGGAGGGATTTGGCCCAGATTAACAGGTTCCTTAATTCCGAATCCTTCTGAGTTGTCCTTCCAATGACCGTGGCATTTTCGATTTTGAAGCTTCATTGAATTCAAAGCTTTTGCCTTCACTGCCCTGTGCACGCTTGGTGCCATGAGGCTCGCGGAGTGAGGAGTTCAATCAAACCTGTTTGGTGTTTGTATTTGTGATTATTTGTGCCTGTATGTAATGAATGTACTGTAGTGTAGTGTAGCGTAATGGCATGGTATGGCATGGAACGTAATGGAATACAATGTAATACAATGTAAGGGTATGTATGTATGTATCTATATAATGTAATAATGTAATATTATGTACCAGGAGTCACAAAGGGGTGCCTATTGGAGGATAGGGGTGCCCATTATCCACTCACATAGGGACTAGAAACCACCCCTTTGTGACTCCTGGTAATGCTATGCAATGTAATGTAATGCTATGTAATGTTATGTTAGTTTGAAACTCGCAACGAAGCAGCTTAACAAATGTATGTATGTATGTATGTATGTATGTCATGCCATGTCATGTCATGTCATGAAATGAATTGAATTGAATTGTATTGTATTGAATTGAATTTATGTATGTACGTATGTATAAATGTACGTATGTATGCATTTATGTATGTATGTAGGTATGTATTGATGTAACGTAATGTAATGTAATCTAATGTTATGTTAGGTAATGTTATGTAATGTCATGTAATTTCATGCGATGTCATGTAAGGTTATGTAATGTTATGTAATGTGATGTAACTTTATGTATGCCATGTAATGCCATGCAATGCTATGTACTGTTATGTAATCTAATGTGATGCAATTTAATGTTATGTAATGTTATGTAATGTGATGTAATGGGATGTAATGTTATGTAATGTTATGCAATGTCATGTAATGCCATGTAATGTTATGTAATGTTTTGCAATGGTCTGTAATGTTATGTAATGTTATGTAATGTGTAATGTTGTGTAATGTTGTGTAATGTTATGTAATGTTCTGTAATGTTATGTAATGTTATGCAATGATTTGTAATGTTATGTAATGTTATGTAATGGTGTGTGTGTATGTATGTATGTATGTATGTATGTATGTATGTATGTATGTACAATGTATGTACAATGTATGTACAATGTATGTACAATG